TGCAGTAATATATATATATATATATATATATATATATATATATATATATATATATATATATATATACATACATACACAGAAAGTATACACTATATTTTAATGGATACAAAGTTAATTTACAAAATTGAACTGGAACGAAACGTAATGTCGAGATAAACTCGACACATAGAACTGCAAAGGGTTTAATTGTTTTTCAGTATTCACAGTATAAAAGATAGAAATTAAGCGAGCCTCGCAAATTTAACGGAGGCTATTCATCTCTCTCTCTCTCTCTCTTTCTCTCTCTCTTCCTCGCTCTCGTACTCTTCGAGGTTCAAAGGGCCACGAAATCCGTTACACGCGTCGTCGACCTTTGGCGTTCGCAGCCGGAAAATCGCTACCGCTCATCCGAAACTGTCGTCACTCCCGATCGCTTCCGCGACGACGTCATCATCGTCGTCGTCGTCTTCCTATTCGTCGTAGATCACTCTTAAGACTGCCCAAAGTTCGGGGAGTGTTTTGCGCGATGAAGCGCGTCGTTCACATGAATCGGCAAACGGGTCTCAAAGCCGGCAGTCTTCGGCCTGGGAAAGAGGCCGGCGGTTAGACCGCGTTTGTTAACACCTCATGCGAAAGATATCACATTGGACACGCTCTACGTAAAGACTGTCTACGTTTTAATAAACTTTCTTGCATTCTTATCGTCTGGACCATGTGTATATACCCGAAACATCCCGAGACGAAATTTTAGCCCTACTTTCGACCTGAACTTCTTAGCATCTGCATATCCTGAAGGATCAATGTAGAATTAATGAAAACGAAAGTCTTACTCTCTTACTAAATGATAAAAAACACCCAAAATGCCACTTGTAGATCCTAAAGAGGCAAAGTTAGTAAGTTAAATAGAGTCAAAAGAGATTGGTATAGACTTCAGAGTATTAAGGTGTTAAATGAAGGTATTAATGAAGGTATGAAATATTCAAAAGAAGAGTCGAGATTTCGATTTGAACTCTCTAACATCTGTATATTCTAAAGGACCAGTGTAGGTTTAGGACGCACGATAACGGAAACCTTACTTCTCTCTAATAATAAATAATAGTCTCTAAATAATAGGAAACGCACAAAATATCACTTGTAGATTATGAAGTGGACTTCCCGGCAAAGCTGTAGGTTCCAAAGAGGATCCTTCGGCAAGGCTGTAGATTCTAAAGAGAATCTTTCGGCGAAGCAGGTTCTAAAGAGGACCTTCCGGCAAAGCTGTAGGTTAAATGGCCTCAAAAGAGATTGATATGGTCTTTAGAATATCAAAGTAGTTAAGCGGAAAGTCAAAAGGGGAATCAAAATTTCGACTCCGAGAATCGAGGACGAAGTGAGACGAGACCGTCCAAGTGGCTTTAAGGAACGATCCCCTTTCGTGTCCTTCCCGAGATACTCCAGCGTCTGCGGGGAATCATTCTTTCCGACTTCGTGCTTGCGTTATCACGCACTTGCTCACACTCCTCTCGTTATTGACGTCGTCCCGGAGCGCGGTCGTATTCGCGACCTGCACAATATCGTCCCGTCAGCGTATATTCCGCGCGACTCGATGCCGCAGTATTGATCCGTCCATCGATATAAATTGCCCGCTGGTACGCAATCCCGACCGCCGAAGGTGTGTACTCGCTCGGGGATCCTCAAGGTCTCGGGTGAACGAACCGAGCGAGTATTGCTAATGACCTCGGTATCCCTGGTCTACGGAGCTCTGTATGGAGCCGCGAGTCTCATCGGATTGCTCTCTCGTTCTCTCCCGGTATCCGAGAGAGAGTTGCGTTGGCCTATCGAACCTTCCTCGTGTCTCCCTTCCTTAAATCACGACCGTCTTACACGGAGAAACGGAGGACCGCGCTGTACATACTCGTACGTGTATGTATGTATGTACCTGACACGCGCGCCTGCACACATATACACACATACACACAAATATATATCATATAAAAAAAAATATATATATATATATATATGTATGTATGTATATACAGGGTGATTTTAAATAAGAGCGAAAAACTTTAGAAGATAAGCCTTTGTCGAAAATTAACGTGGTTCTTTTATATATAAACATAAACATTATTATACCCTTTCCTGAAGAGTTACACAAGTTACTCTTCCACAAGAGAAGATAAAAATTTGATTTTTTTTAAATATTGTAAAAGTTGAAAAAATCAGATTTTAATCCAAAACGAATTGCCAATCTGACAACTAGACATTTTTAAATTCATTAAAAATACAAAATTTGATGGATTACACATATTAGTATACACAACTGTGTTGTGTATAATAATATATTCAATTTTTTACTTGAAAACTCTTGGTTTTACGAAAAAAATAAAAGAAATTAAAAAGCTTTTAAGAGAATAAAGGTTCCTAACGTATATTTTTAAAGACTACATTCCGGCTTGTTAAATAATTTTAATACAATATTGTATAGGGGTTTCTAGTTTTAACCCCTTATAATGGTAAGGGAGAATTAAATAAAATATATTAATAAATAACCTTTTTACTAGTGTAAAATATTCCCCAGATTTCAGTTTTTACCTTTTTCACTCAAGAAAACAAATAAAAAAAATATTTATCTTTCCTCTTGGAGGAATGTAACTCTTCAGAGAAAGATATAGGAGTATATATTTATATATCAAAGATCCCCCTTAATTTTCGATAAGAAATTATTTTCTATAGTTTTTCGCATTTATTTAGAATCACCCTATATATGTATATGTATATATGTATGTTGTGTGTGTGTGTGTGTGTGTGTGTGTGTTATGTATATATCTCTATATATATATATATATATATGTATATACCTTTTTGGATTGGTATTTTCTTCAGCGTGTATATGTGTATGTATAACACGCACACATGTATACACGCTGAAGAAAATACCGACGAGAGAATTACAGCGCGGACGTACGTGCCGCGTCCGAGGGACGTGGATCGATAATTGAAAAATGCGAAGTCGAAGGGCTCTCGCGCAGCCAGCGCCGTTTCTCGAAACAGCAGGAAATAGAAATAGGAGGAAATGGAAGAAATGTTTCTCGGGACGAGACGTTATTCTTGCCGATACACTGCACAGTCGCGCGTGCGCTGCTATTTACCAGAAATGCGACGCCGCGAAAATTTGCAGTCTCCGTGCAAAGCGGAAGCGACCGAAGATTGAGTTATTAAACGTCGCCTTACCGTCGCCTACGATAATATCAGCATTATTTTCATGCGATAGAAGTTGGGAAACTCGCGACGATTCGTCGTATATTTCTCTCTCTCTCTCTCTCACACACACTCTCTCTCTCTTTCTCGCTGTCTCTGCCTCTCTGTCTCTCTGTCTCCTTGTCCCTCTGTCTCCATCGGCCGCTAACCGAGCTAATTTGCCGACTTCAAATATTGCTTAATTATTCCATAGAATAATCTCTCGCAGCTTGTCCGTTAATTCTAATTAACTCGATTCTTCTCCTCGTGCTCGTGTTACAAATGCAGCCGCGAATCAGGGAAGGAAGGCTCGTTGATCCCTGAGAGGGTATAGTACGTGCGAATCGCCGGCGCGCATCCTGATGGCCGAGGATGTATCGCGCCGCAAGCACGGACCACGTCCGTCCCTGAGACCGGGGAGGAATGCGGCGGGTACGGCAGTTAGGAACTTTTGTAGTACCGGACGAGTCTACTTTTTACGGCTATCCCCCGAGACCTCTATAAGTACGAGGCGACCGGGCTGGTGCGCGCACTGACGCGAAGTATCGTACCCGAAGAAGTGTATCCGCGCGCAGAATCCTCACACGTAGTCGTCATGCTGCGATTCGTAAGTAAATCCTCCGGCTTTATCTCGAGAGAGAAAGAGAGAGAGAGTCCAGCGCGGAGTGCATCCGCGCTTGGATCGATCCTGCGAATTAATTACGCAAGGATCACCCTGGTGTAGAAACCGATTATAGAATACTTTTTTTCAAATCAACGTTACTACACAGAGAATCCTTCGGATTCTTCTAGTATTTCTATTTGATTGACTTCGATTTGCTGATAAAGCAAAATAATATTATATCGAGTAATACAATTTTATATCAAATATAAAATTTTGTTTTATTAGATTAAACTACGTTGTTTGATGGAAGAAAACATTATTATTTAAAAAAAAATTTCAATCAAATAATATGTTATTTGGTCATATCTTAAATTTTGTTGATTGAAGAAATAATTATTATTTTAAGTGTTTCGTTTTTCAATCTAATCTATTTGTTTGTACTAACCAATAGAATATTTAGTTAAAATTCAAGAGTCAGTCGTATAGTCAATTGATTCATTAATATACACATTTATTAGGTCTAAAATTATTAGAATTTTAGATTAGCCGCGTGCGTCGGTTTCTCTACATATGTATTCATCGTGACTGACAAATATTCGAGGAATCGATAACGATGTTTAAAAACAACTGTGAGAGTTTGACAATTTGACATTTAATTCGTGCAGCGTTTTGCCCGCGTCAGTATTACGCATAATCAGAAAGAAAATTGTACAGTTCAGTAAAAAAGTAATTAAGAAACTTGGATATTGTCACGTAAACAATGGATTAGATGTTAAATTATCAAACTTCTCACTACTACTTTAGAACATTGTTGTCGATTTCTTGGATATTCGATAGTCATGATGAGTACGTATGTGGAAAAAGGACATGATTAGTGCAAAATACTTAGTAATTCTAGATTTAATAAATGTTTGGACATTAATGAAGTTCTGCTATCTATTATTTATCGACTAGTATTGCATTGTTTCCGACAAGTACCAGTAAGTAAGGGTCGTGGCACACAGAAAAACTTAAGCAATAAGACGTAAGCAGTAAGCAAATTGACAGTCATTGATTCTTGACGTTGTAAAAAGAATCAATGACTGTGATTGGTCAATTTGTTTACTGTTTATGTCTTACTGCTTAAGTTTTTCTATGCCACGGCCTTAAGTATGACATGAAAGAAATTTTTTTGAACATTATAAGAATGGATTATAAGCATAATGCTGTATATATTGTCATTATTTATTTTCTCCATATTTACCACTTTTGATAAGTATACCTAAATAGTAAGAATAACGATAAAAATGTGGTTGTATTTTAAAAACGACTGAAATTCCTCACTTTTGATAATTCACTACGTTAACTCTGATGATTATAAAAATTATAAAATTTTCATAAAGACAACGTAATCATACACACACACACACACAAAAGATTCCTTTATTTATAAAAAAAATATATCTCTGTTAAAGTTAGTTGGAATAATGAATTTCTGTTCAGTTATTGAAGTCAAACAACCCACATCATGATTAGAAAAAAAGATAGATGGCCGCATCACGACATTAATTGATATAAGTACTCAGAAAATCACAAAGAGACGAGGGTAACTTGATAAAGGAATAAAAAGAGACCATTGATAATGCGGAAAAGAAATGTTAAGTCTCATAAGGTTGTTTGAACAAAATTATTGAACTTTTTAGTAAAATGATAAAATTAAATAAAACTTTTCTTTTTTGTGAATTAAACAATAAATTATTTGGAAAGTTAAACAGACGTAAGTATTAATTGAAATATTAGTTTCTTTGGACTCTTTCAATGATCAAACACTGAGCGAAATTATTCGATAAGAAATTAATAAACGGATATTTCCGATAAAAATACAAATCAATTTTTGTATTCGATCAGGATACATCCGATGAGAAATATCGGTTCATAATTTTTTTATCGGTTTATTTGATGAAATGCCATTATGATCGGAAGTATTCGAGTAAATTCAATCGGATATCTTGATCGGATATAAAAATTCATAAATATTTTGATCGGAAATATTTGTTTGTTAATTTTTTAGCGGATAATTTCTCTCAGTAAATGATCCAAAGAAATCGCTTTTTCTCTTTCTGTACAATGTAAACGCATATTTCGACTTTCTGATAGCGATTTTCTGCTATATTGAAACGCGAGCACTTACAAGGTTCAATAAAAGAAAATATCTAAAATTTAATTGCAACTTGAATACTAACAAAAAGTAAAAAGCAAGAAAATCAGTCAGGAAAATAGAAGATAATATGAATTACCGAGAAGATTCAAGAGTCGTTAATAAATAATACAATATATAAAATGCAAGTCTTTTTATTAAAAAAAGCATTGTTTCTCTGGATTAATTATTTTGTGCATTAAAGATAACAATTATTTATTAGAAGGCTTCATATATATTTTATACGAACAAATTAGACATAATAAAAATGGAAACTAAACATAATAAACATAATAAACAACAAACAAAAGAGATAAAAAATCTACTCCATTTTTCACGCAAATTCCTCAGATTGTTAGTTATTTATCTTTACAATGATCTATATATTATCAATACCTCTTACAAAAAAAACTTTCCGTACCATTAAGAAGATTAAGAATAGCCATTGTATGGTAAAACATTATTAGTACAACTGAATTACTATATTCTAAAAGTTACATACTCACTAATTCATCAAACTAATTTTAAATTGAGTTTTCGCCGAATTCTCCATCTACAAGTAAAAACATAATCTTTTGGAGCAAAAGGATTGTAGTATATTGATTTTATACCATGTCAAAACGATGAAATGTAAAATGTGGCATTCCAAAAGGAACATACAGTTCCGAACTATGAATATTGGACTATGAATTGAAATAAAAACGATAAGAATTCAAAACAAGCTCGTACACTTTGACTGCGATCGTAAACCGCGTTTTATGTAAATATCCCTCTCCACTTATGTTACTATCTACTTTCATTATTTTATCAGCTTGTAGTTTAGGATTCGTATATATTTATTTTCTCCATACTTACTACTTTTATGAGACTGATAAATATACCTAAATGGTAAGAATAATGATAAACATGTGGTTGTATTCTAAAAGCGACTGAAATTCACCATCACTTTTGAAATTTCACTACATTAACTTTGATGATCATAACAATTATGAAATTTTCATAAAGACAATGTAATCACACTCACAAGGTTTCTTTATTTATAAAAAAAATTTGTATCTGTTGATTTTAGCAATATAGGGTTTTAATATAGTTTTTATAAGATAGATGGACTTTCTTTTAAGCATCTCCTCTTTTAGAATATGGCGATTCAACTATATTAAGATTGTACATTGAATAAATTAGAGCATCATGATTATCACAACGTTAAATTTTTAGATGAAACAAAGATAGAGAGTCATTTTTATCCCCTTATATGTTCGCGCTCAGCGTTACGTATGACGATATTTATAACAAATGCGACAACTTTCAATAGTTGCCATCCGAGTGCTACACTAAGAAAAAAATTTACTAAATTTCAAAAAACGTTTGTTTGAATAGTACTGTGAAGATATTTGTTTGAATTAAGTAATTATATTTTAAAATTAAAGAAACAAATTTATATTTAAAACTTCTTTATTTAACTTTAGAAAATAATTATTTAATTTAAACAAATATCTTCACAGTACTATCCAAACAAACGTTTTTTGAAATTTAGTAAATTTTTTCTCAGTGTAGCACTCGGATGGCAACTATTGAAAGTTGTCGCATTTGTTATAAATATCGTCATACGTATAGAAAAAATAAGCTTTTATTCCACATAATCGATGCTTTTAATTATTCTATAATTATGAAAAATTTCAACGTGTTCGATTTGTCGCGTTGTCGATCGCACGATCGTCCGCGAATTCATTGAAATTTATTCACCGGCGACGGCGCGTCCTGAAGCGCCCACCGTTAGCGGGATGTTTTTTCCCGGACGATATTTGCGTCACGTAGACTCATTTGCTCCTCGCGCGCGGTTCAACGGTTACTTATACTTGCCCGGAGCGTCCCGCGGAGCGAAGTTTTCCAATTTAAATAGTCCCCCAGCGAGCGAGCTCTCTCTCGTGAGACGATTATTTGCAGATCCTCCTCGGCATTCTCGTCGGCTTGGCGTGGTCCGCGCCAGCACCGGCGCCGAAAGCAGCACCCGCGCCCAAACCACTCACCCTCATCTCCGAGGTCAAAACGCCGGCATCAACCACCAAGCTCGCGCCGCTGGTCGCGCCGATCGCCACTCCTCTCATCGCACCGATCTCCCGTCTTGCGTATGCTGCGCCCGTTTTGTCGCAGGTAAGTGCTTTCCCGTAAATGGGTTAAAGTGCAAGTTTCTTTTGGGAGCGAATAGACACGTTACGGATATATTTGGTTTGAGTTTAACCCTTTCAGGACGGGAGGTTGCTCGGGAAGATAATTATAAGGAAGTACGTATTCTGTGGATTTTTGAGGTCGTTGAATCCAAGTCTGAACATAGATTTTTAAAATTCTGTGAACCAAGATGGCGGACCCAATATGGCGGAAAAAATGATAAATAATATAAATATCACTTAATTTCCGTGAAATTTAAACTATGAAACTTTTCAAAGATACTTTTTTGAGAACTGAAATCGAATACTTGAAATTCAAAATGCCGACCAAAGAAAAAAATGTTTAGATCTGACCAGACCTGATCACATCTGCTAATTTATGCTTACCCTTGTGAAAATGGTTCGTATATCGAAATCAGTCAAGATTTTCACTAATTCAAATTTAGAAAGTATAAAGTTCCATGGAAATTGAGTCATATTTACATAATTTGGAATCTTGAAAATCGCCATATTGGATCTGTCATTTTGAATTTTTAACTTTTGCAGTCAGATTCAAATTAAGCGACCATAAACCTCTGAAAACCAGAAGAAACTCAAAAGTCTTGATTTTTCATTCCTGTTAGAAAGCTATGTCTCGGAAAAGCCAATTTTATACGCCATATTGGATCAACTATTTTGAATATCAAAATTGTGAAGTTATATTCGAATTCAGCGATCCCAAAAACCCCATTATAGCAAACTCCATGAGAATCGGAAGAATAGTTTCCAATATAAAAGCAAGGAACAGTTATGGCATAAAAAGTGACCACCCGTCCCGAAAGGGTTAAGGATATACCTCTGATAACTCACAGAGAAGTCGCCTACAAGTAGATTAGCTCAAACTGAAAAAAATTCCTCTACCATTTTGTGAACAACACATAAAATCCTAAGTTATTAATCAAAGAAAATTCGTAAATGATCATACAGTAAATGAGCTGTGATGATGACGTCTGCCTTTGTATGCTTGTATATTAGATCAAAATAATAAAAAAGTCCTTTATGATTTTGTAAATAATAGATTTTTAGTTATTAATGAAAAAAAATTATTACATGATTGTGCATAATAATGCACAAAGCTTCTTTAATTAATATCTAAAAGTCTATGTGGCTATTTACAAAAGACTTTTTTGTCAATTAGATCTAAAATGCAATATACAGCGACAAACGTCGCCATTACAGCTCATCTATCGTATGGCGCGTGATCATTCACAAATTTTTCTTGATTAATAACTCAAAATTTTATATGGTTGTTCGCAAAATGTGGTAGAGGAATTTTTTATTCTATTTCACCTAATCTAGGGTAAACTCGAATAAGATGGCCATACTTTTTTAAAATGCAAAAAAATACATTTCTTATTGTTATTTTTGAATAGCGTTTGGCACATTACTTCAATGAAGCCTACAGTATATAATACCATCAGAGTTAAAAGGAAAATACTTCAGTAAAATTATTTATTACAAAAATATCAAAACATGAGCATTGGCTATCTTACCTAAATTTTTCAGATAAGGTGGCTATAAAGGAATAAATGACTCATACATATTTTATGTTCAAGTTTCTTTACCTATTATTTTATAAAATAATGAAAAAAACATAATTTAACATATTTATTGTAATATAAGATATTTAATACACATTATTTTTGAAAAATATAATACATATAAAATAGAAACTTCCATTACAAAACTTAAATTCTAAATGCAATCTTTTGATCAAAACATATTGCACATAAGATTTAATTACTGTAATATTGAAAATAATTTTTGAAATATAACGATTTTTATTTTATAAATATTCATAGAATGATAGTAAGCTATCTTACCCAAAATGTGAATAAAAGACGGTTATAGTATTTATAAACAAGTAGTGAAAACAAAAATAAAAATGTATGTTATATTACAATTTACATACCTACTTTACGTATTTAACGTTGATTGCGATAGCTTAACTAATTTATTCGACGTTACAGCAAATTTTAGTGGAGAAATGAGAAATTTTACAGACAGTTAAAAATAAAAATATAACATAATATTCATAACTTTGCTATTTTGGGAACTATGTACGCTATGTACACTATGATAAATATCGATTACACTGTCCGACAAAATTTGACTTTTTTTTCCTGCCGTGATCGCAGCTGCTATTTTTTTAGTAAATTCGAGGTCGCTGAATCCAAATCCACTAGCAAAAAATGCCCATCACGTCAGATTTTCGAGATAAATCCAGTAATATGGGTGAAAAACTGCGTTTTTTTATGGTCCAATTTTTTGTGGCTAAACAAAATTTTATTTTTCAATTTCATTGACGCCACTTTAAAGTGCTATTCTTTCCCTTTAAAACGAATTTTTACTTTTTATTGTGCGATTTTTTTCTCCGAGTTATGTTTTTTTCTCCGTTTCCAAAAAAATAAAATTTTACACTTTTATAAATGCTAACTTTTATGCTTCTCCGTTAAAACTTATTAATTTATTCCACCACGTTGAGTCTGCCATTTTGAATTTCGTCATTTTGAGTTCAGATTCGTAAGCAGCGATCCCAAAAACCCCGAGTATTGACTTTGATCCGAATCAAGTCATTTTTCTTATTTCGGTTCATCATATTGGATCTGCCATTTAAATTTCGAAATTTTGAGTTCAGATTCGGTATCAGCGACCCCGAAAACCCTAGGATACTCATTTTCATATAAATCCATCTAGTTTCCAGTTTCAATCAGCCAATTTAAATCCGACATTATTTACATTTTGGAAAACGTTTATAAGTTTGTGGAAAAAAATCGCACAGTAAAAAATAAAAATACATTTTACAGGTGAAAAATAGCACTTTAAAGTGGCATCAATGAAATTGAAAAATAAAATTTCGTTTGATAACAAAAAATTGGTAAATATGACAAAAAACACAGTACTTTACCTATATTTTTCGATTTATCTCAAAAACCTGACGTGGTGGGCATTTTTTACTGACAGATTTGGCTTCAGCGACCTTTACTAAAAAATGTTTTGCCTTAGTCGCCGCAGATTTTTTTGTTGAACTGTGTTATCTTTGTGACTGATTACATAAACGCAATGTTTTGCAATTATTTTAAAGAAATTTCAGCCTATGGTCATATTTTCCGTATGGCCATAATACCCGAGTTTATCCTACTTATACACCGCGGCTCTTTTGTGAGTTACCAGACACTCTGTATTGCCTATATAATAATTGCTAAATGTTATCAAAAATTAGAGATACATTAATATTTCTATTTTCCGTATAAAGCGTATGGTATATATGTTATGGTCAAAACTCGTAACGCAGGTGCTCCTAGGGTTTATTGTACAATATACGGAATAACCAAGCGTTTTGGTTAATGCTCGAAATAGTTTCGTGTTTTGGCTCCTGTAAAAACTGTTTAGTGGAGGCATCTCCAGTGATCTTATCATTTCCATATATTGTAAAGATTATCATCCTGAGTAACCTTCATCCTGAGTAACAACAAGCGACGTCGCCATGAGTCTCAGTCCTTGTTATTTATTAAAAAGTTATTAACAAAAGAAGTTTCATAATAGAATATAATTTTTTGATACATTTAACATGTGTCAAAAGTATATTTTTGGTAAGGTGGAGAGTTTTCGTCCGTATTCCACTAAAAATTTAACTTAACTTTACTCTACAGCGTTGTGAAAACCTTGACTATTAAAATGTGTGTGCATAAATGTACATTTTCTAGCAACCAATATTGTCACAGTACTGTAGGGTTAAGTTTAAGAATTAGGTTAAATTTTTAGCGGGATGTGGGGGAGCCAACCCCTATCAAAGATATATTTTTTTATTTTAATATATACTTTATAATTGTTTTTGAGGTAGCAAAACTTATATTTTTTAATTTCTGACCTTTTTAGCGGGATGTGGGGGAGCCAACCCCTATCAAAGATATATTTTTTTATTTCAATATATACTTTATAATTGTTTTTGAGGTAGCAAAACTTATATTTTTTAGTTTCTGACCTTAACCAGTCATGTTAGTTACTCCTAGGATTGACCGAAAACACATCAGTCAAAAGCCGAAACAGGAAACTATTTCGGGCTTTGACCAAAACGATTAATTGTTCCGCACATTGACCAGTCAATCCTAGGAATGTCTACACACTTCGGATTTTGACCATAACATATATACCGAGTGTCCAAAAAGTTCGTTCCATACTTCAAGAGAACACAAAAAAGACATCGTAACTGCAACATGCAACTTTTTAATAAAAACCAATATTCGTTACGTTCAAATTACAAAGCTATGGCGCCTTGAAGTTAATTAGTGTGTGTTATGTGGCCATATATCATATAAAACATAAAATAATTTAGTTAGCCTTTAGTAGATTCAAATAAGTATGATAAAATTGTTCACAAATTATCTAACATATGTTTATTATCACAATGGTGCCAGATTTAAACGATATGGTAAACGCTTTTATCTTTCGTTTACGAACAAAGGTTGCTATTAAAAAATTATGATGTCCCCGATGCGCTCCTGAATTCGAACTTTTTGGGATATTCTATATTTATATATAATTCAGTAACAACATATTTTTACTTTGACATCACATTTTTAGAGTCTATTTTATTTTATATTATTTCTGACTTTGAAACTTTTATTTCTTAATCATAATCAAACTTTATATACATTCTTTTGAATATTTAAATTATATATATATATACACACACAAAAGTTCTGATTTTTGTCGTTTTTAATTCTTTTTTGCTTTACTAAAAATAGCAACATATATATTATCATATATTTCCATTATTGCTCGGATAAGAATACTGCCAAGCAAGATTACGGCAAATAATATATTAGTAACAATATGTCATTAATGCATTATTTGACGTCATCAAAGTTTGCTGGTGAACATTTCAAAATAAAATTACTTTTCCCAAACAGCAGAGATCTTCATAGGATTTTCACATTCTAAAGACATTCTGCGGACGTCCTTAGACGTCCCCTGGAGATTTCGTGTTGTCTGGGTTGATTCAACCTTTGAATCAATATCAAATTGTTTGTGTTATTTTTAGATATAATATAGATGAATTTGTTTTAGCAAAATTTTTACATTATTTTTAAGCAATTTACCCTTTCTCTCTCTGTCTCTCTTAACATGTTTATTATCAGCGTCACGTGTAACAGTAACAATTTTTTCTGTTCACATTATTAATTATTTATTTATTATTTATATTATCTACTAGAAAATTTTTTTTAAATATTATTTATTAAATTTTCTTTCCTTGATTTTTACCTGTTTGTTTGCACAATGTAATATATTATTATATTATATATGCTAAATGTGTGTGTGGTTTGCCATTAATAAATATTATTATTATTATGACCATTTATTAAATCTATATTATCATATAGATTTATTATTACTATCATCATTACATAAGCGTTTTGCACAATTACGTAAAAAAAAGGTGACTGTAGGGGAAGTCCTTAGATAAATTCTAATATATAAAACATACAATAACAATAGACGTAATGCACTTGATAGACAACTTTCAAAGTTATCATTTTAGGAAGAGATATATTTAATAAAAATTTTCTTATTGATGAGCTTTATCATAAGGAACGGTGTATAAAATATTTCTTCTTTATAATAAAATGTCTTAATATGTAAAAGCTGTATTTGTCAGATCAGTAATGTCAGATGCTTAAGCTTTCAAGAGTTTGTATTCGAAAGATAGAAAGAGGGAACAAAAGAGGGAGAAGGAGAGAGAGAGGAGGGAACAAAAGAGGGAGAGAAAGAGGGAAAGAGAGAGGGAGAGAGAGAGGGGGGAGGGAGAGAGGGAGGGAGAGCTACACGTTTATATGTGTGTGGATCGAAGCTTATAAATTTAAGGTTCAAGAGTTTGCATTTGAGAGATAGAGAGAAAGAGGAAGAGTTACACGTTTGTGTAACGCAGAGCTTATGAATGTATGTCTCTTCGGACGGAATTGATCTTCTTTCGATACTTCGGGATTTATCGTTGCGAAGAATCGCGAATGAAAATATGACTCTTGTTATTCTTCGTTGTTATTGTTTCATTCGCGCGTTTGCACAGATATCACCGTACGCGTACACGTATTCCGCGCCGATCGCACCTGTGGAGATCCCGTCGAGCTACTCGATCGAGCAGCATGGATACCATATTACCTACTGACCGCAAAAATCATCGGACCGGTAGCCGACGACCTCAGTGAAGCCCGTGTGGAAGTTATAGCCCTCAGCTTGTCTCTTCATCGATAATCATCCTCTATCGTGTAATCTCATCCACGTAAAAAAAGAAGAAAAAATTCTTGGTGAGAGTTGTCGTGTTTGTTGTCAAGATCCTTATCCTTTCCTCTTTTTCTCCACAGCGACCACGAATAAAGGAACCGCGTAGTCATAGTTGGTTCTTTTTTTCATTCCTCAAAGAACGTCGAGGAATGACTTTCTAGGCAGAGAGAATGTTATTTCTTTATAGCTTTATTTTCGTGTCAATTCTTTCCCGTTTTATCATATTTTCTGGTAGTTGTAGGAATAAAGTCGTGAATAAAGTTTATTTTACTAAAGAACACATTAAACTGTTTATGTCAACTTAAAAAACTTTTTAAGTTTTACATTAATGATATAATAACACTGTCTGATATACTTTCATAAAATAAACTAGGGAACTAAGAGCCAACGCAGTAATTGGCGACGTAATTAGTTGTTGAGAGCGAACTTTTAATAAATTTTTTCCAAATTTGTCGCGGAAAAGACAATGAAGTGATAATTAAAATTTTTAAGGCTCCTGGTTTTTCGATATTGAACTCTTATTGATAACGTTATAAGCAAAAAAACGGATACTTATAAAATTTTTGCAAAATACGTAGAAATAAAAATATATGTTCATAAGGACATTTGCAATTGATCGAGTAGATATGTAAAATAACTTGAACGCACCTTCCTTTTGTTCTAATAATGAATAAATTAGCGTAATATGGAATCTACCTTTATAATCTATATTTTCTCAAGTTTCTCACGTTAATTTTATAGTTATTTATTGATTGTTAGAGCAAAAAAAAGTATCCAGATTATTTTATAGACTCAAGTGTAAGTATTGTTTTTTGTAAGTATATTTTATTATATTTTATTATTATTATATTTCAACGTATTTGGCAAGCATTTTTAACGTATATTTTCTCCCTTCGACGTCATAAATCAAGATGGCTGCGGCGAAGAAACACGTGAGCTTTAAATCAATGATTAAATAAGGCTTTTTCTGATATATTATCATAAAAAACTGGGTCAATAAGAGCCAATGCAGGTAATTGATTGCGGAAAGTCAACTTTTAATAAATTTCTTTTAAATTTGTCGTAGAAGAGATAAAAGAAATTAAAAATTTTAAGAGATAAAAATATAATTTTAAAAGGTAAAAGATAAAATTTTAAGAATTAAAAAACAAAATAACAAGAGATAAAAGAAAGAAAGATAATTTAACCTTAGAGAACATATACGGAAAAAACATACACGGAGGAAAGCGATACGATTGGTTCATACATAAATCTGGTTGTGCCAACCAAATTCAATATTACGAGTACATCTGGTTGGCACAACCAGTTTTATGTGCGAGCCAAACATACTGTTTTTATTCCGTGTAGGTAAAATTTACCTAGACCAACCTTTTAATGTTTCCGTTCTCAAAAATATGCGTTTTGTTTTTTATTATTTAACTTTTTTCAAAACTTTTTTCAATTCTATTAAATCGCGAATATATTAATAGAATAATATTCTTGGTGATTTCTATCCTAATAAAAAAAGTACATCACTAAATTTTGATAATTCTGCCGGGAATTGTGAGCAAAAGAAGATGCACTGGATAAAATTTATTCGTGTTTAGGATTTACGTAAATTTTTAATGTTCAGGATATTAGAGTTAAAATTTTAAGTGAACTTCAATTCTCCTAAAATATCAATATAACACATATGAAGTAAAAGGATAACAACTTCCGGAAGAGTGTCGATATGGTTCTCGCGATAACAAAATTCTATAATAACTTTTGCTACAAAACTCTCTCCGTGTGGGAGCCGTTCCCCAATCGATTTGGGAAAACCCACGTGTCCCGAGCAATTTCTACATCGCGATACGTTATAACGTTTCACAAGCACTCGGTAAAAATCTTTTAACGTACACGAGCGACGCTATTACGTGACGTTATTACTCGCGTCGTTCGCCGCTCGCGTCTATTTGCATTCCGGCGACCGCGGAAAATGCATAAGGATATCTGAATTGGGTCAAGACGATTCACGCGCGGTTTAACGCGGCGTGATCCGGCGCGACACGAAATTCCCAGTGTTACGAGAGCCCGCGGAAAACCCCCGTTACATAACCGCGACGCACGTGAAGGGAAATCGGCGAAGCCGTCGACCGACCGCCACGGCGCGATCATCGATACGTGACAAGAAAGATGAAGTCCACATCCTGAGGATCTAACTCCGATTCCTCGACGCCCGAGCGATTCTTCCGCTGAGAGGGGACGTGGCGAAAACTGAAAATTCTCACGCAATTTGTTGAAATCGCGTAACTTTCGCGAGGCGGAACAGCGGCGATTCGATTGAACGATATTCCTACGAGATTCCAAACGGCAGAAAAGCGGAAAAGTTCACTGACGCGTCCGACCCCCTGGAATATACGCGCGTGAACACTTTCTCCCGGATCCTGAGTGTAGACCACGCACAGTGTGTTTGAAAATAGCTGTAACTGCTGCCAGTAAAAAAATAAAATTGTGTGCACTGAGAATTGCTGATGCTGTGTTTCGTTTCTCCTAACAGTGAGTCAGCTGTTGCTGCGTCACAAGAGATAAGCGAGCTACAAAACATAAGTTATCTGTAAATATTCCGATAGTGTCGAATATTGCTTCCAATACCTGTTCGTGTGACTATTTTTTGTCATTTACAACGAAAACGAATGAGCTACAAGTAAAATCTCACACTGAGAGAAGAATTTAGTAAATATTATCAAAATTTGGTTACTATTACTAAATGGTAGACGTAAATATAGCGGGCCAAAGCTATGGCAATACTTATTAATTAATTTAGTTCCGTAAAATAAATTATTTATTTGACAGAAGTAAAATTTATTTGCTTCCAGAATATATTTGGTAAATGAAACTTATTGAATAGTTGAGCAAAATAAGCGATTTCGTAGTAGTTACAAAATTTTTGGTAGGTTCAATCAACCATCTGTAATAATAGATATTGAAACGATGTAATAGCTGCAAATGAATGAATTTTTTATACTGGTAACAAAATAGAACTCGTACCTACTTAATTTTTTACATGGGATATAATTTTACTTAATTTTTTTACATGGAATATAACAATTTCATAACAATTATCAAATATCTGCTCATAACTGTAATATATTTCATATTAAATATTTAACATTAAGTAATTATTACTAAATTATTTAATTGATGTTACTGTGAATGCAATTACGTCATACTCCCGATCTATTAAATATTTGGTAATTGTTATCATATTTAGTATTAGTTACTAAGGATTCAATGAATTTCTGTAACTAAATGCAGTTTGTTATAGTTACCAGTCTTTTCTCTCAGTGTGTCACTAGAGAAACTATTATTAGATGATTTATAAATGTGTTGTCAAGTAAAGTATATTTTTCTATAATTATAATATATACTTTACTTTACACACGCTCTTATTTTTTGTGATACAATTATAAGTTCATTTACTGTTGGGAGAAACGAAACGCAGCACCAGTAATTCTCAATGCTGCTAACTTAATTTTTTTACTGGTAGCAGCTATTTTCAAACATATCCAGCATCTATGATATATTAAACCGTACGCCTTGACTGTCTAGACGTTCTGAGTAATACAGAGTGTTCTAGAATAACCTTGGAAGTTCTCGTGGAGACATAGTACGGACTGAGACTAATATAAAAGTGTTATACTGCGTTTTATGATATTATTAATTAGATAATATTAATATATCATCGCGAGCGACCAATCTTCTTTAATTAATAATTAAAAATCTACAAAATTATTAGGAAAAAAGTAGAGCACTTTTGGCTCCATTTTATTTTTAATGTACAAGCAGACGTCACTACTACAGTTCATCTATTATATCTCGCGCAATTAACCACAAATCTTCCTTAATTAATATCTCGATAATTATTGCAAATATTGCAAAATAGTATAGAACTTTTACGTTTATTTTAATCCGTACTATTTCGCTTCCACAAGAGCTTCGAAGTTTGTTCTAGGACACGCTGTATAATGTACAACTCGTACCAGCGTGTGCACGCATTGTTTCGTATGTATACACGGAGAAAAATAATTTTGCTCTTTTAGCAAAATCGTCGTTGCTACTGCATATTTGTAGTGAAATAAAGAAAATTTACTTGACGTAACTAATTTTACAAATTATTCGTTATCAGTACAGAAGTAGTTTTGTTGCCAGGATAGATAAAATTTGATGAGTATTTGTCCTAAGAATCACGTTAATTTGCTACTGATGCAAAATAATGTATCTTTAGCAAATTTATTTGCTATCGGAGCAAAACTGCAACTGCTTATATAAATCCATCATGGTTTTTAACAAAATAATTTGTAGATTCAGTACATTATATCCAGCAAATAGTGACTAATACTCTTAGCAAATCATTTTGCTATCCATATAATAACGAAAAGCTAGATCTGCAGCTGATTTAGTTAGATCAACAGAAAATTTGCTGGGCCAGCAAATTATTTTTCTCCGTGTAGAATAACTACGTTCCAATCGGTTACTAAGGCCGCTGCCAATGCGTTATTTAAGGGGACTGGAGGGTCAGATTGCTTAAAACTCAATGAATATACGAAAATATTATTTTGACGTGTATTTATACAACATATAAAGAGAAGAAAAATATAATTTTGATGATCAAATACTCAATATAAGTGTATGATACATGCAATTAAAATATATTTCGGTTTTTTTCAAGGTCGTCAGTTTGCAGTAATATCTTGACTCTCGGTGATACAATTAAGCTGAATTTTAGGTAGAAAATTTCCGTAAGCTTGTGGTTATCGGGTGAACCACTGTAATAGAAATTGAGTAAAAGTTAGCAAAATTGCAAATATCTTAATGGAATATTATTAAAATTCTCAGTTTTTTTATAATAAAAAAATAATATTTTAAAATTAAATATTTTCACGAGTTTATTTAATAACATAATTTCCGATTTATTTAATAATATTCCGATAATGACAAGCTTTCGAAAATTTTCTATTTAAAATTCAGTTTAATTGAACCACCGAGAGTCAAGATATTACTGCAAAATGACCTTGAAAAGAAAAATATAATACATGTATATTTTAACTGCATGTACCATACACTTATATTGAGTACTTGTTCATTAAAATTATATTTTTCTTCTCTTTATATGTTGTATGAATACACGTCAAAATAACACTTTCGCATATTCATTCAGTTCGTCATAAAAAATTGTGAAAGAACAAACACGATTTTCAGGCAATCTGACCCTCTAGTCCCCTTAAGCATAGCTTTTGGGTATACTGAATCTAGGGAATATACATAACATGGTTCACGGTATACATTATACATTATACATGGTCTAATACATTATAAATGGATTTCTTTCGGCTCTATACAGGTAAGAACTACAGAAAACATGAACGAAACAAATACGGAGAGGTCACTGACTGACTACATCCGTATATTGATCTGAAGGATCAATGTACGTTTAATAGGAATTAAAGTCTTATTTAGCTTTAAATCTCTCTAAATGGCAAAAAACGCACAAAATGCCGCTTCCAGATTCTGAAAATGACCTCTCGGTAAAGATAGTAGGTTAAATATTATCGAAAGAGTTTGATAAAAGCTTCAAAGTATTAAAATAAACATCAAATATATAATCTGAAAATCGAAAGTAGGATCAACATTCTGATTCGGGATTTTACATAAACGAAATTTAGGGAGTTAGCAGTCTAATAATATATAAATAATATATAAGTCTACATAGGGTTTATATACACGTAGGAAGGGAAACACGGGCAACTTCCACGCCACGCCACGCGAGTACGTCGGTCATTCAACCGATCTACGACTGCCTTCTGCATGACATATTTTGTAATCGCTGGTTGATCATTACTTTTTGGAACTAACCGAAGCGACACGTGCGTTTTCTCTGGCGCTCATGCCGTCACAAAGAAGAGGGGCGTCCCCCCAGAAACACGCCTCTTCACTTTCTACTCGGCCGAGAGTGAAGATGACTATTCTACATCACAGACGCGATGATCCAACCAAGACGAAGTCAAGGTCGATGCGCCGCGCTGCTACGTGGAAGAAAGTGCCCGGACTGGTATTTTTTCGAGTGTATATCGTTTGATGGGGCGGCCATTGCTTCTTAGAATCTCCTACGGGAAAAACCAGGCGGGAGTGAACGTTGTCCTTAGTCCGGCTAGGACGTTTTGATTAGAGTTATTAATGCCGCCGTCACAGAGCGTTGCCGTAAAAAGCATTTGGGTTAAGTATTACGAAGATTTATAAGATATACACATCGCTTTCGGGCAGCCATGTCGCCGGTTGCGACATTAGCGTCGTCACATTCCTGGATTCTCCTCGCTGGCTCGAATCTCGGCGATGTTTACCACGCGACGCGTCCTCGATGCGGCATGAGAATAGCTCGTAATAATGGACAATCTTGTGTAATTTCATTGACTAAAAGGCCAAATGACTCAAGTCAATTTCATTCATTCATTCCGTTGGGATATAACGCGCATTATAAGCGCTGTCGGGGTGACACCAGTAGTCGTGTGTACTTGTGTATCGAGCGTGCCTCTCTTACGTAAAGCCGGATCCGCAGGAAGAACCCGCCCGTGTTCTCCGGGAATCGTGTGGTAAACCAATTTTACGAAGGATCTCGTCGATGCAAATCACACATCGACTTCTGCGCCCCTTGCGGTGACCTTTCGCGCCCGCACTCTTTGTCTCCGAAGAGAGAGAAGCAGCAGAGATTTAACCGCGTATTTATTTTACGACACCGCGATTTATTTGCGTAATAAATTTTGTAATCTTGTCTTTAATGGTGTCCTGATTATATGGAGTGTGTGCGAGATGCGATATGATATTAAACGTGTTTTTGTTTCAAATCTCTTTGTAAGTGCTCTTAAATAAATATTATATTAAGCACATATTTGAAAACTTTATCAACAATGATTATAAATAATGATTCTTTTTGTAAAGTTTACGCCGTATAGAATTATAATCGTGCTTTCGTACGATGAAAGTATGTGTGCAGGAATAAAATAAGTAAAAGTATAAAAACGTAATGGGCTAATTTATAAAATTATGGAAACAGCTTTTTAACAGGCTTTTTACAAATAAAAGTAAAAAGTTTCAAAATTAACATTTCAAACTGTCAGTTAGTGTAATATTGATCTGATAAAATTGCTTTGTTTACATCAACTCTTTGTTCATATTTATGAGAAAAGATTTCTTAATCAATTTAATATTCACGTTGACTTCCATATATTACTTTAACGCTTAATTCAAGTTTGAATTGCGAGAGATACAGTAAATAAATGTAATTTACGCCTGGTATATATATTTGCTAACTCATTTTATTATGGATCTTTCTATTTACATTATATGTTTTGATATTATATACAATTATACAATTATATATAATTATATTTTATATTATATAATAAATATTATATATATTTCATATTTATATATAATTAAGTATTATATATTTATATTATAGCTATTTATTTTTGTATATATAATTATATATATTTAAATATACATATTTTTATATATTTAATTTGTTATATATGTAGTTGAGATTATACGTTTTATAGAAAAATTAACAAGACGCGGCCATGTTATAACATCTGTTGCTAGTGATCTTCATTGCAGTCAATATGTTATACTCGATAGAAATCGTCTAAACTGTACTTACTATCGTTTAAGTCGGCTTCTATAATTCAAATGTAATAAACTATTCGATACAAGTTTCTTTTCAATATAAATTTCGGCCGTGCAATACCACACTGGCATTCGTTGAATGTTTCGTAGTTGTGTTTATTGTTTTCCAATAAAATAAATATTTTACATACTCTACCGGCTTTTTATTAAAAACAATAACTTAAAGGGCGATTTCCATATAACAGTCTGTTGTGTTCACGCACAGTTTGAATACCAGTTCATATGAACGAAAAAACATGGTTGGAGTCGTAACGAGCGACAAAAACAACCAACAACGTGAGATTTCGCGAATTTCTGACATATGTGTGATCAAAAAATGAAGATGACACTTGGAACAATTTCACTTAAGTCAGATCTTTTTTTCAAATTTACAAGTCGCTCGTGCGTCAAAGAACGTCACGGAGAAGACGGATGTCTGCTTGTCGAATGAGTCATGAATGTACCCCACCGATAGCGACCGCGGTTGGCCCAGCATCCCCGAAAGGCACGTATATATAAGATCCGAGCGGCTTCGGTAAAAGCACAGACACCCGGCGTTGTGCACGGAGAAAGTGTTCGGTTAGAGAGCGAGAGTCCGAGTATAAGACGTCGCGACCCGCTTGAGAAAATCAGTTTATCGCGAGTGCATCCGCAGACAACGATCAGGTGTGTACTTTCAAATTAATAATTTCATAACTTTACGGAGAAAACACAGATCGGTTGGATTAACGTAGCAAAACCAAAAGAACGAACCAAGAGCGTTTTAGTTGATGGAAACCAAATTAAACTGTTGTTATAAATCGAATTCGGTCCTAAACCCTTCGTGTGCAATCATACTTTTGGAATATACAAGTACAATTTGAATTTATTAAAACTTTGGATTATTATAACTTTGTTGAAAATCGTTATTCCCGTACACATTTTTCTCCACAGATTATAAAATAGTCTTAGCTATAAGATAACATCGCAATAAAATCAAAATCTGTAAACAAATTTACGCTGTTTTGAAATTTTCTCGAGCTCCTTTCCGGAAGCTAATAAGCGGTCGAATATTCGTTCGGCTCTCACTGACATTATACACGGAAGGTTAAAAAGTAGAAATTCTGTTTCCTCCAACCAGACCGTATTTGATTCGTTCATTATTTACCAACCAAACTTTTATCTCCGTGATATAACGCGTATTAACAATACTGTCACAATTTTGCCAGGTAATATTTATAATTGTAAAAAGAAAAAATTTTATATATTTGCAGATTATAATTGAATATTCTTCGGGAACGCGTATACTTTATAAGAAGATATTCAATAATTAATGAATTTTTCCTGGTACATTTTGTATTGATGTGTTTTGAATTGTTTTGTAAATGTACAGAGTTATAACCCGCAGACGCAAAGCCATGAAATGTAAAATGTATGGATAAGCTCTTCGGTATGATGCTCGATTTTTTTGAAATAACGATGACGCGCTTTTAATTACGAGTCGAATGTAAATTATAAAAAAAAGAATAGAAAAATAATAAATCAATAGATGAAGGGTTACGTTTGATGAGTAGATTGGATTGTCTAACAAAAATTCGACTGTTTTCCCGAGTGAGATGCATGTTTTGGTAACGAACAACAATTGCGTTTATTATCGTTTTTATCGATTACCCGCTGGCTACTCCAATAATGGCATCGTTATTTATTTAGACGGTCTGTATCGTATGAAAATTTTTCCAATATATTTCTCAGACGAGCAATATATACTTCGTACAGGGATACGTACACATAAATATATATACAAATGCAAATACAGAGAGAAACAGAGAGAATGCGAAAGGAGGATGTTAAAAATAGGCTATTTTTGGCCCACTGATGGAATCTTAACTAATAATTAGAAACTGTTTCTGAGATCTTCTAGAAACAGAAAATAACTATTTAAAATAATTATTTGTTCACCAGGTTCGAAGAAAATTATGAAAATCGAGATTTATTTTTGAGTACTGAAAAAAGTTATAGAAAGGGTTTTTAAACTTTGTTCTCTTGACATGTCTTTAAAATAAAATTATTTATATATTTATGTCTTGAGAGATGAGTAAATGTAGAGAAGTTCGTTTTTTTTGGTTCACATAATGTTTATATGTTGTATGTGCAGAGATTTTAAAAAAAGTATTTACAACTTATATTTTCTAGACGTTATATCTAACAAACTCTTTATTTAAGAGATAAACTCTTCGTTGTCAGAGGTAAAAAAAAGAAGGAAAAAATCGGGAGTTGTTAGATTCATAGTTCTGAGAGGCTAAGAGAAAAAAACGCTCATTTTTTATAATTACTTATATCTGTAACACACGCGCGCGCGCGTGTATAATGTGTGTGTGAGCCAAAAAATCATTTTTTAATATTCTTTGTTTTGCTGAAATTAAGAGTGAAAAGGCTTGCACCCACGCGTCGTTTCCACTCCAAATAATATAAAAACTTTCTCCTCCTTGTCCGCCGCCTCCGTGTTTTCCTTATTCGGATGCACGGGCTTGTCAAGCATGTCTAATCCGCCACTGTATGCTAAATTATCCTACATTCTGCCACGGATATCCAAGGAAACCGCTATCGCGGTATATAGTCGCGGTCAACTTTTACTTTGATCGCCGATTGGAAGTTACAAGAGGCAGCATTACGGCGAGAATAAGAAGTGAAATTATCGACGTAGTCGTCCGCTAATGAAGACACTTGCAATAGAGAGAGCGAGAGAAAGAGAGAGAGAGAGAGAGAGAGAGAGAGAGAGAGAGAGAGAGAGAGAGAGAGAGAGAGA